CACAAAAAAAAAAAAAAAAAAGTTCAGCCTTTCCACTCTCACAGTGATGGAAGTGATGCGCCAATTGCGCCAAATTGCGCCGAGGACGCAATTCTGCTACATGTAGCGCCAAATTGGCATTTCACCGAAGAATTGCGCCATGCCTGCGCCGAGATGAGATGTAGCAATAAAAAATAAAAATCAGAGCGCTTGGCGGTACCGCGGTATTTTCCGCGCCGCAACTGTTACGCAAACCGAAACTGCGACGGCGCATTATCATCATCATCATTGAAAGGAACAACGTTAGCAACATCTGAGACCAAAGCCGCAGAGGCTAAGCGAAGAACCATCCCACTGAGCAGCCTATTTAAAAAAAAAGAAGAAAAAAAAAGCCGAGCTTGTGGATTTTTCAATGTTGGCCCGCCCTGTTCCCGTGCGCTATACTTCATCTCACCTTAGCACGGACTAACTGCGAAGGCTGTGCAAGCGCGAGCGGCTAGCTTCGACTGCCTTGACTGGAGCACTGGCTGCACGAGCGCTCGTGCAGTCGCCGAGGCTTCATCCAAAGCAACTAGCTCGGGCTTTTGGCACGTGCGGCTAACAATATTCCATGCTAAGGTGAGACGAAGTATAGCTACCAGCGAAGTCAAATCTAGCGCGAGCCCAATGCTTTGTGCATTCCTGACTCGCGCGTGGGCTCGTGCAGTGTGGGCACCGTTACGGGCTCTACCCGCGCGCTTGTAGCTTCGGCTGCGCTCGCACCGAAGCTGAAATGTAGTACAGTTGAGTTGCACCAAGCTCTAGATGTAGTGCTGGTAAAGCCTCACCGTCCTTTTCAGAGCACAAAGCACTGCGCGACTCGCGCGACTGCGGTGTCTGCTCCGCGGGTGTCGCTTCTCTGCAGCGCGTCGGTGCATGCCAAGGAGCGCACTCAACGGGTTAACTCTCCGTGATCCCATCGTGACTCCGCCAGCACATCGAAAATGAATCGGAATTTTTGAAGCGAATATCAGATACCGCAATATTTGAAGCTGCTGCCCGAAAGACAACTCTAATCGGAACTAAAACATTCCACAACAGTGGGTCGTTAGACGCTGCTGCAGATACCTTAAAAGAAGTGCAGGCTGATAAAACTAAATATACTATCCGAACTCAGTGTGACATATTTAATTGTATTTTTTTTATCTGACGAGCAGATAAATTTTATTAAAAAAATGTTTTTTTGTGTGTTTACTTCGTTGAATGTTATATATCCTGTCTTAAAAAGGCGACAGGAGCCGTGTTCCAATAATAGAGATGGGCTCTATATAGCAATGCAGCATTATTTCATTTTCAAGTAATATGCCAACATATGCCGGACCCTGCTCCAAAAGGGCCACTACCTGCTCCAAAACAACATTTTGCATGCTACAAGGCTTGCTCCAAAAGGTCAAATGGCACTTCCATCACTGCTCTCATGAAGAAGGAAGACCAGCGGAGCTGCACTCGATACACTGCCGCAATGCGCACGCGCCCATTTCCCGCTTCTTCTTGTCCGACACGCCGCCGATCGTGGATACGTCTCCGGTGACCCAGAGTCGGTCGCACACGGCGCACGTGACTCCAAAAGAGTAATCCACGAACTCCTTCCGGAACATCACCGTCGCTTCCGGGAACTGCTCAGCCGGCGTGGAGTGCTGTCGTCGCCGGGCCTCGCGCTTGCGCTTGGCCTCCAATCATCGTCCGTGGCATTGGCCCGCCTATGCCCTTTACATCGCTGGTTCGGTTCTTGGCGGAGGCTTTCCAGGCGAGCGATGTGCTCTTTTTTGGCAAGGGAATCTGAAGCGCTTGACGCACTAGAAGTCGAGGTGACAGCGGCTTCGCGGCGTTTACGGACCTATTCGCGCTGCTGCGTACGTCGCCGCTCCTTCCGCAGCCAGTCTTCTTTCCCCAAAAGGGCGCGGCCGACCCACCCTAAATCCAAACCGAAACTGATAGGAGCGTAGGAAACAGTGCGCAAAAAAGACGAGAACGAGGAAACACACGTGACGAGCGCTGCGCTCATTACGTGTGCTTTTTCTTTGTCGTCTGTTTTTCGCGCTGCTTCCTACGATGAATTCCCACCGACGCGCCGCCCAACTATCCATTCTTCTATGATAGCTGGAAAGGTTGGCGCCATCTACGAGCGACAGCGGCAATCATACTGGTTGTGTGCTTGCCGTTGTCGCTTATAGATGGCGGCAGCTGTCGAGAGGCGTTTTTGTCGACAATTGTTTTGTACCGGACACGATCCTCGGGAACCTAGCCCTTAACAGCTCCGCTGTAAAAACCACACACACGCACAAAAAGCACAAGTACATGCACAAACGCGACGCGGGGAGAGGACTTGGTAATGCGGCGGGCGACGGGGTGGTGGCGAAGCCTCAAAGATGGCGCCGAGCCTCTGATTGTACCCATGGCCGGCGAAAGATGACGCTAATAATGAATAAGGTCTATCGCTTTAGGATTCTAAGGTGTTGGTGGGTCTGCTTTTCCTTTGAACTTGACCTTTTCCAGTGATCTCCAGAGCTAAGCTTGCCTCCAAGTCCATTTCTCCTTGAGCCCATACTTTTCTTTTTCTTCGAGTTATCTTATTCTTTGCATTGCTTTTCATCCAGATTATTACAGTCATCAAGCTTCACAAAGGGTAGACTGAAAGAAATAGTCCGCTTTTTGTTTTGAAATCACACCACAACAGAAAAGCCTATGGGCCAGTGGTGTTGCGTGCGAGTATACTCCGGTAGTAGTGCCAGCACGCTTGTGTATAAATTGAGCAACATTCAAATCCCATATTCTTGTGTAGCCCCTTAAGGGTGAACAGAGTATAGGGTGCTTTGAGGTTATGTTAGTTTGCCATTTTGTTGTTACGTGTCAACTGAGCTTGATGAAACTTTAGGCTTGTTTGTACAGTACTTTTCAGGGTATGGCTCGCCTTCAACACGTGTTGGACAGCTCATAAAAAAAACTGTGGAACCCTTCCACTTCACGTGAAGATGGAGGACCAGCGAAGCTGTTATCTTTACGACGTCGAGGACGATGTCTAAGACGACCTCAAGGACGACCCCGAGGGCGACCCCGAGGGCGACTTCTAGGACTACCTCAAGAACGACTTCTAGGACGACCTCGAGGACGATGCCTGGAGGACATCTAGAACAACCTCAAGGACGACGTCTAGGACGACCTCGAGTTCGAGCTCAAGGATGGCTTCTAGGACGACTTCTAGGACGACCTCAAGGACGACTTCTAGGACGACCTCGAGGACGATGCCTGGAGGACATCTAGAACAACCTCAAGGACGACGTCTAGGACGACCTCGAGTTCGAGCTCAAGGATGGCTTCTAGGACGACTTCTAGGACGACCTCAAGGACGACTTCTAGGACGACCTCGAGGACAACGCCTGGAGGAGGACCTCTCTGATGACCTCAAGGACAACATCTAAAACGACCTCTAGGACGACCTCGAGAACGACTTCTAAGACGACCTCGAGAACGACGTCTAGGAGGACCCCGAGGATGTCTTCTAGGAAGACCTCAAGGACAACCTCAAGTACAACCTCAAGGATGACTTCTAGGACGACCTTGAGCACGATGCCTAGGGATGATAACAAGAAATCACGACCTCACTATCTAATAATGCCAAGGAAGGTTGACTCACGCTGATTGCCCCCTCTTTTTGTTTTATTTATTCATACTTGCCACGACCAATGGGGAGTTTTCTGTCGACGTGTGAGGACGCAGTTTGCCCCAGACCCTAGCGTATAACAGCTTCGCTGTAAAATTGGTGTATGAAATTACATCAGTGAAAACACCCTACACGGAATTCAACTCGTGAGGTTTATGTTTCGGCACCGTAAGGTCGGGGTACGGCAACACTGGTTTATGCTTTAGATGGGACATACAGCTAATTCAGTATGACTGCTAGTCTGAGGTCTTTAATATGCACAATGCAGTAGTGATACACTAGTGTGATGCTCATCCAGATAAAAATGGATAGGAGCAGAGGTCAAACCGACGGTCCCTGGGTCCTGCAGCACGAGCTTTTGCTCCGCATGCTCCGAGCTACTTTATGCTGATACACTGTTCGCCACCATGCCTCTGCTCATCTGAGCCAGTGTATCCAGTTGCAAGCCTACCGAAGCTCCCTTCACTTGCATGCACAAGGCGCCTGCCGGGATGTCGCTCTTGCGATTCTGTACAAAGAGGATTTCGCGCCACTTTGCACTTCTACGCCATGTTCTTTTGTTGCATGGCAGATGAAGCCGGAAGCTGTCTAGTGAGGGCCTAAAAACATGTGCTTGCATTTATTTGAAACTCGCTTGTACAGTGTATCTGTTCATTTTGTCAAAATACATTTGAAAGCCATGATATTGGGCCTGTAGCCTTCGCTGCCCTATAAATTACGTGTGCACAGATACAGACAATGCAGGCGATGCAATCATCACAAACGAGCTCCCTCCCTGGGTCCATGAAAGCAGAAAAAAAATCTTCCTCCACTGTAAACCCTGCTCTGTAAGTTGCACACAGACACAGAGCCCGCAAAACATTTGCAAGGCAAGCTTCATGCACACAAAAGCGATTCAATGAAATCAGTGGTGAACAAAAAATTCCGCCCCTTGCAACAACACAAGGGGGACATTCACAATGTCTCAACCTACCTAAGTTCAAAAGCTCCTCATATAAATTTGCTCCCCCCCCTCTTTTTTTTTCGAAGAGCTGCTTTCTTCCTGTCGTTTTACAGTCATCACCACAGTCTCGAGTAGTTCTGCAATTATGAACTTACACCAGCTGACTTGTGCCCTCACGTTTTGTTCATTATTACTTCTATTCATTTTATTTATTTCATAGTGGAGGTCATTATTCTGGTTGCTGCTTTCCTGCTTTTTGAAAGCAGGCATTATCTGGATAAACATGGTTTTGATTTTCTGAGGCTGTTTTTTCTCTTGTTGCTCCTCTTCCGTGCCTGACACTTCCTTTCGATTTTTTACCCATGTTCCCAAATGCAGCCTGACTGTTACCGAGGATGGAAAGAAGGCACTGATGGACTTGGCTCAAGGGGACATGAGGAAGGCACTCAACATCTTACAGGTAAGGTCTACAGGGTGTCTACCTACCCGGAAAACCTGGAATCATCAGGGAGTTTCAAAGCATTTGGAAAAGTCAAGGAATTGTCAGGGAAATCGTCAAAAAGTTGGCTAAGTCAAGGAAAACGGGTCGTGTGGACAGTGCAGTGACACGGGAGGGTGTGGCGTGCGGTGACGGGGATGGCCTTCACACTGAACAACGGTTGCCTGAGGCATCACTTGGCAGCATAAGCCACCACCCGATTCACTGGATTAAATAGGAACAGCCCAAACAGTCGCTGCAACCCCATCCTCTGCATTTTCTTCTTTTGTCAGGGAATTTAATCAAAATATTAAAGAAAAAAAACAGGAAAAGTCGGGGAATTTGAGAAAGGCAATTGTAGACAAAGAAAACAGCTTTCCAATGAATTCAAGATGGCGGCGGTCGACCGCGCATAGGTGGAACGCGAAGCGCACGAGTTTTGACGTTCGTTATCTGTTTTAGGGCTGTTTCTTGGCGTGTTTCTCATGCAAAAATGATTGCGTTTTTTTATATTTTGAGGTTGAATTATGCCGTTATATTTTGCACAGAGGGGCTCTGGATGTGTGAGGCACCCTAATATCAAATTTATGAAAAAAATAGGTAACTTTTTCACGACTTTAAGTGCTGTGTCCCTCCTTAAGTATTCTATAAAGAATATAATGAAAAAAAAACATTCAAGCTCCCTTTTTTTAACAGAGTAGCAGTTCTCAAGCGTTTGTTCGTCATGGATCCCCTGACTCGCTCAGAAGTCATTCGGGGACCCCCGATGCATTCTGCATCAGATGTCTTGTGCGATACCAAAGGACATGGGTGTCGGCAGGGGGGTGCAAAAGGAATACTTGCCCTCCCCACGTACCAATTTTTTTTTATTGCAGAAACATGGGTGTGTGGCTGGTGCTTCAAAGTTGCACGCTAGTGGGCCAATCAACTTTGTACCTCATGCCACGTAGCCCCGTTCATGTACGTACACAAAAAGTAGTCACATAAAGTAAACTGGGTCACTGCAGCTTTGCTAAATGCTCAGAAATACCTGAAAGCCATCCCAAAAAGTCGATGCGCTCTTTTCTAAAGCAACTGAGATGAGTTCCCCTTTTCAGACCAAACAAGTGGAAAGAGAAGTGCCTCCCAGACATGATCTAAACCAGGGGTGGCTAAGCTACGGCTCGCGAGCCGCATGAGGCTCTTCGCGTATTAAAGTGCGGCTCGCGGATCTTTTCCCTCGACCCCTCCCCCCCACACACGCACACTCCCCCGTCTCCCTCGTAGTCACACGACCACTTCCCCAAAAAGAGAAATGGAACGTGTTTTAAATCGAAAGACACGTTGCGGTTTGGTAGTCTTGTGCAAATGCTACCTTTTGTACAGTTGGATTACTTTTGACTCAGAGAGATTGAAAGTAGTTCGAGTTCCGTTTATTGCTCTAGACAAAAGTTTGCCTCCCCCTTCCACACACGCGGCTCTTGGAAGTTTCGTGGTATTGTTTGCGGCTCCTCAGCTGGATCAGCCTGGCCACCCCTGACCTAGACGGATAACACACAACCCGACCTGTGCACACCACGCACAAAGAATCCCCAAGCCCTGCCTGTGGTTTCCCGTCTGTGCCTGCACCCCTCCCACCCCCCCCCCCCCCCGGCCCCTCCCCCTCCCCTCTTCAACTCCCAAGCCAAGGGGCAAGCCCACTTTAGAGAACACTACAGTTTTCCTCATGCTGAGTGCTCACAAGTGAAGCAGGTGCCAGCCTGCAGCCTCGAGTAGAAAGCAGGGAAACCGTGCCCGAAAACAACAAGCCCTTTCCCCCAGAGAATGATTACGAGTGTCACTCAATACCGTGTGATCTCAGAAAACCCATTTGGTGTACTTTGATGTCTACTTCTCAAACTGGCGTGCGTATGTGTTAATTCACTTTTTGCTCTTCCTGCGTGGGATGTGTCCTGGCCATGGGGACGTCTTGATAATGATCTTCGTAGAGAAAATGCCAGACGTATGCGAGCTCTAGAACTGTGGTATCTTAACCTGGGGTGACATTTTTATGGGCCATAAGTCTCGCATTCACCTCTCCAACTCGGTGACCTGTAGGAGGTATTCACTGGACACAATATTTGAGGTCTTTGTTTAGAGTGCATGCTCAGAATGAGCTCATATTAAAAAGCTGGTAAGACCGGCAATCTTGATGGTGTAGAATGCAGATTGTAAAATAACTGTGGAAGCTCGCCAAGAATGAGTTCCAACATATACATGAACTTGGTTTTATAAGACAATCTTCGAGTCCCTGGTCTTCAGCACTTCACATGGCCCTGAAGAAAACTGGGGACTGGCGCCCTTGCGGGGACCACCGATCATTAAACAAGTGTACTCTGCCCGACCGTTACCCCATCCCTCATATCCAGGACTTCGTTGGCGTCCTATAGGGCACAAAGGTATTGAGCAAAGTGGACCTCATCAAGGCATTCTACCAGATCCTCATAGAACTGGCAGACATTCCCAAGACGGCTGTCATCACACCGTTTGGAATGTTTGAGTTCTTGCGAATGCCCTTTGGCATCCGCAACACCGCACAAACCTTTCAACGATTTATCGACACAGTCCTCCGAGGTTTGTCATTCACCTTTGCGTATATTGGCGATATCCTTGTATTCAGCAACACTCCGGAAGAGCACGCCGAACATCTGCAACAACTCTTCTTGCACTTCCAAGAATACGGACTTGTCGTTAATCCGATTAAGTGTGAATTCGGCGTCAACGAACTTGAATTTCTTGGCCACCACCACGATAGCCGTGGAATTCAGTCGTTACCTGAGAAAGTCTCAGTCATCCGAAGCTTTCCACAGCCCCCACTGGTGAAGAAACGTCAAAAATTTCTCGAACTCATCAATTTTTATTGATGCTTTATACCACAGGGCGCCCAAGTCTGCGAGCCACCCTACGACCTACTGCCAACCACCAAATTAACAGCAGCGCCACTCCATTGGACGCCAACCGCCAATCAAGCTTTCAAGAGAGAAGAGAGTTGAAAAATATAATTGCCAACGTCACCCTTCTCAGCCACCCCAAAAGCGACGCACCTCTCTCCATCATGGTCAGTGCCTCGGATGGAGCTGTTTGAGCGGTTCTACAACAACAAGACGGAGACAACTGGCAACCGCTTTCCTTCTTTTTAAAGAAGCTGGCTCCGACAGAACGGCAATACAGCACCTTTGGAGGTAAGCTGCTGGCAATATACCTTGCCATCAAGCACTTTAGCCACTGTGTGGAAGGCCGAAGCTTCTTCGTCTTCACAGATCATAAGCCATTGACCTACGTGCTAGCCTCCAACAACACGGCACACGCTCCACGTGAGATACGGCAGATGGCATACATTTTGGAATTCACCACCGACATCCGCTTCGTCAAGGGCACAGATAACGCAGCTGCTGACACGCTCTCCAAAGTTGGGGTCAACCTATACTCCACGGAAAGACCTGCAATTTCTTACCAATAGCTGGTGGAAGCACAACGAGGCGACCTGAAAAATTGCAACACCTACGGACAACTTCAACGACATTAGTCTTTGACGACATTTGCCTGACTGCGACGACACAATTGCATACAATGTTTCAACAGGTCGTCCCCGCCCCTTCGTACCAGCAGATTTGCAACGAGCAGTTTTTGACTGCCTGCCCTTTTTGTCCCATCCCGGGACACGAGCAACCCAGGTACTGATAGTTTTGCTGTTTATATGGCCTCGTATCAATGCTGACGTGAGGTCCCGGGCCAAAACATGTGTCCAGTGCCAACGCTTGAAAGTTCACCAACACACCAAGGCACCCTTGGGAACTTTTAGCACACCGGACACTCGCTTCGCTCATATTCACGTTGATATAGTGGGACCACTTCCTCCATCCCAAGAAAACTGTTATCTTCTGGCCTGCGTGGATCACTTCACGCGGTGGCTCGAAGCGGCACCAATGAAAAATATCACCGCAACAACCGTAGCTCGCACACTGATTGAAATGTGGATTAGTCGCTTTGGTGTCTTACAGATGATCACTACGGACAAACGATGTCAGTTTGAAGCGACTTTATTTCAAAGTCTTTCCCACTTCCTTGCAGTTCAACACATCCACACGACGTCCTACCATCCAATCTCCAACGGCACGGTAGAGTGTTTTCATCCTCAGTTGAAAGCCTCCATCAAAGCACAAACCTACAGCCCGGCATGGACACTCGTCTTGTTGCGTATGAGAATAGCCTTCAAATCGGACATTAAGGGGAAACACCGCTTCTTGAGCTTTTTTTTCTATTTATGGTCCAATTCAAATGAAATTTATAGAGCATAATCATCTTCCCATTTTGATGACAAATATGTACTTTGTTTTAATATAGCTTGGTTAGTTTTGATAAAATTAACTATTTTATTTGAACATTTTATGGGCGAGATTCCAAAAACTTATGAAGACAAAACTCAAAAAGAAATATATCTCTGTAAACTAGAAGGTCTACAGAATCCAATAAGGTATAAATGAAGGCTCCATGACTATTTATGACATTTTTGCGGCATTTCGAAATTTTCAGTTTATAAATCAATTTTTACAATCTATGTTGGAAGTGCTAACAAAAAATACTGATGCCTAGGTTGATGCAATTAGACCCCTTATTGGATACCCCACTTATACACCTACCAAAGAAAAAAAGAATTAGGAAGATCGGTTGTGTACAGCCTGAGATACGGCTTCCGAAAAATAGCAAACTGCGCAAAAAGTTCATTTCGAGAAAACAGCAAAAAACTTTCACGGACGGAGTTTTACTGTTACCCGCGGCGAACTCCACTCGGATGCGGCATCCCCGCAGATCTTGCAACATCGCTTGAGTTTTACTGCAAGTCCATACTCGCGACCGCATTTTATGAGTTCGACATCGCCGCAACAAGCTTTACACTTCGCGAGTTGAAGAAGCGAGTTCACGACGTCGAGGCTTACGACGATGAAACTCTCCGTACTCTCGGGAGCTTCTTGATCGGCGCCCGAGACGACGGCCATCAGGGCAGCTTTCCGCGTCCTAGCGGACGTCGACGAAAGTTCTATAAAGTTTTTCCTCTGCTTTTTTTTCTTTCTCGTCGATCTCGGAAGCGCGGAGCATCACCGTGTCGAGCCGCACTCGCTCGCTTGAAGTCACGGATGTCGATGGCGCCATCGATGCGACATCTTCGTGTTCGGGCTCCCGCACCTCGTTGTCGACGTTCAGGCTCGCGGGAAGTTGAACTGCGCCGTGGATTAGCTTCCTCGGGCCCTTTTTTCGTTTTTTTCCAAACTTGTGGGCCGTATGAAACTTTTTCCGTGGAGTTGTTGTGATCGGCATGATCAGAGACGCGCACGAGAATCAAACAAGGTGGCGGATCGGAAACAACGAGCAGACGCTTCGTAACCCTAACGGCCAATGAGAAAGCGCCATTTGCACACGTGATCCAAAACAGCCAACCACGTGGCAAGACCAAGTTTTTTATTTGTGCTTCGTTCTCGGCGGCCAATTGCCGTGTAGCATTGTGAATGGCGGGAGAAGAAAGAGCGGGAGCGGAGCTTTGAAATGAGACCAAGATGTCCCCGTTCTATCGCGTTGTTCTCGAGCTACCGGCGGTCAAATTGTACCTTTTTTTTTGCTTTTTTTCGGAGAAAGCATTTCCGTTCAGATACTTCAAATCAATACCCCGAAATAAATAGGGCATATTTTGCGATAATATTTTGAGAAAAATTGCGGAAATATCTGTAGATATTAAAAAACATAATTTCAAAATTGTGATTTTTTTGTCAGTTTTTTGTTTCAAGGAGCCGTGTCTCCCCTTAATTGCAGTGCAGCTGAGCTCGTCTACGACAAGTGACTCCGCTTGCCTGGTGAATTTTTTTCTTCCTCAGCCAAGATCTCACAGGAAACAGCAGAAAACTATGTCCAGCGGCTGCGGCTACTAATGAAAGACCTTCAGTCGACCTGCCCAAGGACGCCCGTGACCTAGACAAATGTTTGCACGTGTTCATTCGGCGCGATGGCGTGAAGAAGATTTGCAGCCTCCGTATGACGGCACTTATTTAATACTGCATCAAGGCAACAGGAACGTGACGCTTGACGAGAAGCAGTCTCTCTGGACAGAGTCAAGCCAGCTCACTTAGCACCCAATTTCTGCTCATCCGGAACCACACGCCTTCCAGGTTGCAGATGAACACCAGCCTGCCCACGCACCCCCTCGAAGTCAGGAACGCCCACCAGCCCGCTCCCTCGCTAATGGGGGAGTGTCTGTAGCAGCAGCCAGCGGCAGCTATCCAACGCTTGAACGGCGCCAAGCTCACGGGACAGGCACGAGCAAGGGACACGAGGTCCCTGGACCAAGAGCTGCACGGACTCTGGGATTCGGCGACAGGCCCCTCGATGAGCTAGTCAAAAGACAGTGTAAATATTGTAAATAAATATATGTACGGAGCCTCCACACCTACAATAGCTTTTTAGAAAATGGAAAATGAAGGTGATGCCAAAACTAATATTCAGATTTCCCTGCACTTTCCAGTGGGGTGACATCACGTGTTGTAAAACTTGCATGTCAGAGAGATGGTCTAGAAAATACTGTGTGTCATACATTTGTTTTTTTGTTCTGCTGGAGTGAGCTTCCTCAGCATTCATTTCACATTATCACACATTTTGTGACGCATCGGGAACAAGTTGTATTGCCCAAATTACAATTGTTGCCAGCAAAGTCTTTCAGTATAAAAAAAAAAAAAACAAGGGTGGAGACCGAATTTTAAAAAATTCACTAACTTCTAAACAAAATAAAAATTTAATTTGTAATTTCAGTTTTTAATTTAGCATCATCTATTGTTGTTTTAAAAATGTTTGAGGCAGATCACCAACCATCAAAAGTAGTCTGGATTTCCCTTTTAACACAATTTTCATGGGACCTGTAGAGGTGCAAATATAGACATACCTTGGGTTTAACCTGAGAGGAAAGGACCTTGCATGTTATTTGTACCTTCAGGAATGCAGTAAGGGAAAACAATTCTTAATGAGCAGTTCTGTTAGCCATGGGCATTTGGTGCTGTCATCATGTCGTCGCACAATCATGCAGAGCACGAGCATGGCATTTGAAGAGGTCACCGAGAACAATGTGTACCAGTGCGTGGGCCACCCTCTCAAGTCGGACATCTCCAACATGGTGACCACTCTGTTAAATGAGGACTTTGCCTTCTCCTACGATCGTATCCTTCTCTCCCTGTGTAGTCTGCCTCCATTGCATCCCTGGAATCTGCTGCAGTGCTGGGAGTTCAGTGCTGACAATAGACATTATGTGAAATGCACAGCGACATCTAGTTGGGCGCCTAAGAACGTGCTTTGACTCATCCATTGGCTTCCATTGGAAGTGTACGTCCGCCATGTTGGTTGCGGCAAGAAACCAGCGACCTGCGGGGCGACGAGCACATACATGCGCAAGAGGAGCGTAAAACGGTACTAACCCTTAGCTTGCAGGTGTGGGTGGGGATCGATAATGGTGAGCAGTAGGCCTCGATTGTTACTGAGAATGCTACGAAATTTACAAAGAGCATAGGAACCTCGACGTAACAAAGATGGCAGTTCCAGGGTGTTGCTAGACGTTGAAACAATTTCGATATGGTCCATTGAGCTAGTGTTAAGGTTTATTTGTTGCTCGTAAAATGTTTTGACCTTTTGTTTGGCGTGACATGCTTTTTTTTTTACCAATGTGGTACTGCGTATTGAAAGCTGTACGCTCAGAGGACCAATCGTCCTCCTGCCTTTCATCGCCTGATCCCAGTCTGTGTCTGGGTCCAGGCAGAAGTGTGATCATGTTGCTAAAGGCTGACAGATGTCTGGTCGAACAAACATGTAGCTTTTCCTGCCCTGTCAGCCTAGCTAGGAACAGAGTAGGCTACCATTTTAAAATCTTTAGGTCACAAAAAATACATGTTATCATTTTATGTGTAGTAATTTCAACAAAAGCCAAAGAAACATAATGTAAAGATTGAAAGCAGAGAACCACTATGAACTGTGAACCAAGCTCGGGTCTGCATAGCATGAAAGCCAGAAGAGAACTGGTCTTCATGACTTTTTCCATGAGCGTGTGGCCGCTGCGCAAGCATCTCAATGACACTGATATGTCCTCCATTCTTTAGAGAACACAAAATAAATGTTGCAGAAGAATAATGTAAAGAGACACGCATGTGCACAATAAATACAAAAGTTAAAAAAAGAAAAAATATGTAATGGTGGCTGTTCCCACGCTTTATCATAAGTTAGTCAATGAGACAAGTGTCTGTTTCTAGCTGATCTTCAAAGTGTTGGAAGTTTCAGGCCCCTGAGCTGCATCACGTTCCATGGAGGAATCTGGTAGACACATCATTGTAGAAACTGATCACAACCCTTTGGTTGCACCATAAAAAAAAAGAAAAAAAGTCTGGGTGATGTGCCACCTCAACTGCATTGTTTCTTTTTTGAGGCCGATGCAGCATGATTTCAGTCTCCAGTTTCTACCTGGAAGAAAGCTTCTGTTGGCAGACACTTTGTTGTTTGTCTCTAGAACCACCAGGTTCTCCAGACAAACTGACACAGAGTTCTTGTTCTCTTTAACCTGAAGCCAGATCTTCAGAACAGTTCATAAGGATTTTTTCCCAGTATCTATATAGACCAGGGGTGGCCAGGCTGACCCAGCCTAAGAGCCGCAAACAAAAACACGAAACTTCCAAGAGCCGCGGGAAGGGGGGGGAGGGGCGGTGGCGGTGGCGGTGGTGGTGGCAGTGGCGGGGCGGGACGGGGCAGGGCGGGCAAAATTTTTCCGAGCAGTAAACGAAACTCAAACTACTTTAAATCTACCCGAGTCAAAAGCAGTGCAACTGCACGTAAGGTAGCTGTAGCACAAGTCAACCAAACCGCAACTTGTCTTTCAATTTTTAAAATGCGTTCCATTTCTCTTTTGGGGGAAGTGCTCGTAGACCGGGAGGGAGGTGGGGGGGGGGGGGGGGGGGGGTAGAGTAGGGGAGTAAGCCGCGAGCCGCACTTTAACACCCGAAGAGCCGCATGTGGCTTGCGAGCCGCAGCTTGGCCACCCCTGATATAGACCTTCATGAACATATTTCATTAAATTCTATCTTACCATTTTGCAGCTTTATTTTCTTAGTAGTTAACACGATTGATGCTGTCCTCATGCTGCTGAGCCTCGCAGTGACACACAATAATTGCTTGCATGGGCAAGGATCACCTGCCTTAACGTTTGTTGCAAAATCAGAGATCAACAAAGTGAAGGTGAACAAAGGACTCGCGCTCCAGGATGTCCTCACCCAAATTCACCTTTATGTTCACAGAAGTAAGTTGACTTTGTACATGTGCATGCATGAAAGTATCTTAATTTTCTGTGAATGATTGATTAACCGTCTATTCTGGCCAGATGTTTGTAGAATTGCAATACAAGCTGTGCTTTTTCTGCTGCAAAGGATGTCTTACACCATTTCATCCAAAACTAGAAATATGGGAGTAATTTTGTCTTTACTTTTGCACACCTCATTCCAACATGTGGAAACATGGAAAGAGATGACTTTTTTCAAAAAACAACATAGTATTGCATTGAAAAAAAAAATTGCTTCATGGGTATTGTGCTTTTCTAAATAAATTAATCTTAAAGGATCCATTAAGCACTTGGCTAAGGGTGGTTATCTTTTGAGCCCATTCTCGTTTCTCCCTTCTCAAAACAACCATTCTCAGAAAGATCTTGCCGATATGACCCGTCGCGTTTTGCCCTTTCCTATTTCGTCCTTGGCATTTTAACCCTCCTCATCCAGACCTGTTTTCGTTTCGCCCTTCTCACTTGGCCCCTGTGGTCTTCTATAGGCGTAACGCTATTCGATGTCGCTTTTTCGTTACAGTCAAACGTTACACTAGAACATTACAGATCTCCTGAAAATCGGCTGATAAAACATTCTGTTTTAATACTTGCCTAAGGAAATTTCCCAAAACACAAAAGTGTTGGCGATGAAGCATGAATCTATTGTCGCCTATAGGCCTCTCCAGTCTTTATCAGCCAGACAAAAAATGCCAAATCACTGGGCTGTGGATGTGTGTGTAGCATCTCATATTTCTTGAAAAGGAGCAACTGCGCATGTGCAGAACTCGTTCCACAGCCCAGTAGACAAAGATGGCAGCGCACAGAAGGCGATAGTTTGAAAGGTCTATAGTTGTGACGGGTGGTGAATGCAGAAGTCCAGCACTCTATCGTTGCCTTCTGCCAATAAAAAATTATTGATCGGTTTTAGGACATGGAATGTTTTATTTACACAACCCTGTCATTAATGTACAGATAATGTGATTAAAACGTGGTATAAGAGCTCACTTGGTCATTTCAATTTTCAAAAACATATTGCTGACATACATAATCATCGGCATGTGCAGCGTTTTTGTTCTGACAGTCGACCTTTCCGGTTTTCAGACATATCTTAAATGAGAGAATGTCTTCTCAATATCAAAACTTCCGTTTGCAACGTCAGTGAGTTATTCGATAGTCTGGGGTAGCACTTTCTTATCAAAGTTGCCATTACAAAAGTAAGTTTTTTCTCCAGAGATGATTTCTCGAATGTCTTGTGGATCGCTTCTGTCATGCATACTTTCAGCAAGTTTTGTCATTGAGCTCCATATTTCTATAACGTCAAAAATGTGAACATGGCAGAATTTTTGTTTTGAATTGAGTTAATAATCATGTTTAACCCGATTAAAAAAAAAAAAAAAACAGGTTTGGAGTGTAAATATAGGGAAATATCGGGTTTTACTCGGAAACGAAGGACCCTACATATATTTGATGGTATGCTGGGGCCCAAACAAGGTAAGACTCGCCAACAAAGCCACAAAGGCATAACGATGCTGAACAAGCAAAATGAAAATAGGCCCAGTTGCGAAAGAACAGATTCGGATCTGATGAAAAGGCTGAAACGAGACTGACCAAGTGTGAATGGGACGAAATGCGCAAGGTCAAAATGCAAATGGGACGTCTTTAGATAACGGGCAAAAGGAATACTGGCCCAGTTATGAAAAAACTGTTTCGGATCTTAAGAGAAGGTTCAAATGAGAATGGGACGAAATGCGCAAGGCTCATATGCGAATGGGACGTTTTGAGATACACCCTTCAATAAGCACTTGGCTAAAAGTATGATTGCTGTTCAGATTTATTAGAAAAATTCTGATCCCCAAAGAGAGAGAAAGTAACGGGTTGTTCTGGAGAGATTTGGAGTCTTAAAAATACCGTATTTACTCGAGTAATAGCCGCACTGTTTATGAGGAAAACCTGAGGGTTCGCTTTTCTGCGGAGCATGCGGCTTGCCACCTACCGCGATCGGCGGCATGATTTCAGCGGTTTACAGGACAGAGATAACGTCTTTGCGCGAAGATACCATCTGTGAAGATTGCATTTGTATGGTGAATCGTGTTCTCAATCTAGTTATTCGCTATGTTATTTTTGCGCAAAGTGATGATTGGCTGTATATCTGCTCTGCGGTAAAGCAAACGCAAGAGCCTTGTTCATAAATAGTGTGGCTACTACTCGAGTAAATACGGTAATGCCGGCTACTCCATCTCCGGAATTCTATCCTTCCGGGAGAAAATTAGATATCTCGCTCAAGTATTCCTTGTGGACTTCTTCAAGTTCTCTGCATTTCATAATGAAAAATAAGATGAGTCTCTTGGCCAATGAATCATTACCTGATGCATGCCTACAGTGTCTGGCTTTGGGACAAGGGACATTTCTTTATTGTAGGCTGAGGAAAAAAATATGGACCAAAACTTTTAAGAGCCACGCCACACTTGTGTTGTACGGAATGAGCTTAAAACATCTGGGGACTTTTTATTTCCCTCCCGCAGTCTCCATCAATCAGTCAGTCATCTTGAGCATTGTGCTTACATAAGAGATGGGTACAGTGGGCGTAACATACTGCAGTGCTGCTACTAAAGGGATAGTAACAAAAATAATTGCTGCATCTTTCATCTCTGCAGTCGAGTTTCCCAACGAGGTGAAGATGTATCTCATCGACAAGATGGCTGAAATTGAGTAAGTTTTTCCTGGAGAAGGGGAGCAAGGGGTACAAAGGACAAACACAAATCTCCAAACACAGCGACTGAAAAAATCTGCCTGGTCCTGGTATCGAACCAGGGACCTCTCTATTTCCAGTGGAGCACTCTACCAACTGAGCTAACCATGAGTTAGACATCAGTTGAGCAAACGAGTTGTAACTGCTGCCGCCAGTATAACACCGAGGGTGAACGACCTGCATTTTAAGGTTATCATGTTAATGCAATTGATGCAATGGTACACCTTTGCATTAATTGCATTAACATCTTTTTTGCCTGTTGTGGTTGTATGTTGATGTAAATATAGTGTGGGTTTATTTATGCTGTTTTCAGGAATAGGCTTGCTGCTGGAACAAGTGAGAAGATACAACTTAGCTCCCTCATCGCGGCCTTCCAGACCGCCAGACAGATGGTGGCATAGCTTTGATGGCATGGCTATGTTTGCAACAGCATCTATTAACACAACAATAAACGGAGCATAGAAAAGGAAACAAATTCTTGTTCATTCTGTCTGTCATTTCAGTATGGTGTAACCCATTTACGACTATAAAAGAGGGAAAATTCGGGTGAGCGGGTGAGTGACTTCTATAATTCAACACAAGGAAAAATGAGGGAAGTGGACATGCACACAGACCGTCTCAAAAAGGAGAATGTCTGTGTGGTTTTTTTTTTTTTTTTTTTTTTGGGGGGGGGGGGGGGGAGGAGGGAGGGGGTAAGGGAAAAAGGGAGGGGAGTGGGAGGGAAGTCAAAGCATGCAAGCCATTTAAACAATTCCAGCAGAATACTATTGTGTCTGGGAATATCACAAACTTTTGTTCAACCTGAGGCTCACTGCTTTAGCAAACATTTAATCTTTTTTTGAAATTTGACTATTGAACGATGTTGCCCGAGCTGCTCAAAAAATGTTTAATATATAAAAAATAATTTATACAGGGTGCTAATGAGCGCTATTCGGGCCGGTTGAAAAAAAAAATTTCTACAAGTAAGCCAGTAATGTACAGGGGGAACAGCGCACTCGCAGAACCAACTCTCCCGAACCTCTGTGTTAAGCCAGTCAGCGGAGTTCAATTAAACTTTTCATAAAGGTGCCTTTTGGTAGTGCATTTATCATACACCAAACTTCGTAAACATAAATTCCTAAAAAAAAAAAAAAATTTATGTGCGAGAGTAAAACAAGCAAACCGTCGGGTTGACGATCACAGATGGCACGAAAACGTGGAAGTTTTTTTGGAGATGCATGCCCTAGATCCAGCAGATCTGAGCGTTTGTTGTCTGCTATGCGGGTACCAGCAGTACAGTGGCCTTGAAGCACAGAGTAGCAGCATCAACCACAAGGTTTGTTTACTTTTTCGCTCGTTGCATAAGAAAATGTAGACTGACGAGCAAGGTGGTTGAGTTGAACACCAAAAGAATAAGACACAAGTAGGACGAGGGACAACAAAAGTGTATGCCAACCCTCGTCCCTCTTGCGTCTTATGCATAAAAAGTTTTCTTCCATTGTTTTCTTTAAAAATTTACTTTCATCAATTTTGTGTATGATAAATGCACCACCGAAAGCCATAATTGTAAAAAGTTTCATTGCACTTTCCTCATTGGCTTATAAGTTTATTTAGGCATAAATAGTGATTGAGAATACCCTGTACAGTAGTTCCCTTTATTTTACACAATATAAAAGCAAGAAAACCTTTTTGACTATTTTGTTTGTTGTACGTGAAACAGTATATCCAGTGTATATTGCACTCCTAGCCCCATTGAAAAACCTTCCACCAGGATTTCTTAATGTTTTGACATATTCTTCACAAATGTTTGAGGTGTTCGTCAAAGTTTTCTAGGGGCCTGACACACCCTTTAAGAGAGGTGTAAGAGACCTGTCAGATAGTTTTTTGAGAGGCCTGTGCAGTCTGTTTCTATCCTTTCTGTGAAAGCACAGCACCCATCAAGATCGTTTCAACGGGTCTGTGGGAGAGATGACATGCCCCTTTAGGATACATGTGTCTGGGCAGCCACTTGACCATTTTGGACCGGGCAGTTGCAATGAGTGTTGGAAATTGAGGAAACGTTCCCTGGTCCCTATCTTGCCGTGGCCTTGGTTAATGCGGCCCCAGCGAGGGGGAAAGCGTGAGCATGCGAAAAGCTGTTGTGGAAAGGCGGTCGCTTCTTTCCACTTCAGCTTTCCTAGTTTCTACCTTTTTTCCCCTCGCACTGTCCTTCTTTGCCAAGTCCTCGCTCACGAGGGAGAGAGTGCTTGTGGAAATTGAGAGGGGGACGTTTTGCTGTTTGTTTGAAGATGAGCTGTCGAAATACAGCCTTCATCAGAAGCTGAAGCTGAAGATGACCTGTCAGTCGAAATACAGCCTTCATCAGAAGCTGGTCGTCCTTTTTTCTCCATGACCGAGCACAAACTAAATGCACAACAATGAATGGATGCTCATTGTCGGCTTCTCATCCCATGCGTGGGACCTATCTTCTAGAGCAGCTGAAAGTGCAAATCAAAAAAAGGTCTCTCAGTGCCCCGTTTCTTATTCCTCTTCATACCTCCTGCTTCAGAAGCATCTAGTGAGCGAAAAAGATGCCGGAGGCGCCACCGCAACGGCACCAGGGACGACACTGTGGCTGACCAGGATTTCTCAAGAGTAGCGAATGTTGGTTGTGCGTTCCTGGTTTTCACTAAACATGCTACTGACAGTGTATGTGTTAGCGTGGTGCACCTGCTCGGTTTTATTGAACTACCGTATATCTCTGGAATTTACCCAGCGGCATTGTGAGTGCCTTGAAAGATATTTTGCGACAAAGAACTCTGTTGTCTCTATTTGGACTGCTTGCTTTTGCCTACCGCCGCTTACACCCGGGTTTGAGCAAACATTGGTTCTTATCTTCTTTAGTTACAAAATGCACCTAAAATTCAAGGTCTGAAATGAACTTCCAATGATGTTTTAAACTGCATTTTTGGTCTTAGGTCGCAGGCATCTAAAGGGCTGAGGGGTTTGAGGGGCTGAAGGAATTTGAAGTGCTGAGTGGGTCCCATAACATATCAAGGCTGAAGTGTTATATTCAATAGGGAGGGGTGTCAGCTCTATTAATTTCTTTTAATATACCTCCAAGTGCCCTGATATCCTAGGGCTGTGGTTCTCAGCCGATCACGTTTTGGGACCCCTTCTGAATCGGCAGAAGGGATGGGAGACCCTATCCACCATGGATGAGAAGGGTATTGGACGATTCCAATTAGTACAAAGGGGTAACTAAAGAAAACATAGTGAAAACCAACTTTGAAGCTCTGAAACAGAATAATTAGTCATAAGCACACATGGTTTGGTTAGTCTAGCTTTGCGAGACAGCCAGCATCAATAAAGAAAAAAACATTTTAGTGCTCTGCTTGACTGACAGTTGAGGGCTTCGGGACGCCAAGGAGGCCTTTCAGTATCAGTATCCGTTTAAGGGTCCCTAAAGGGATACTGAACCGAAATTTCTAGCTCACAAAACAAGGCTCAACGCATAGGCAGGACGCTGCAAAACCCGAAGACATCACTCACAACGATATCTAACGGATCACCGTATTTTTGGAAAAGTGTGTAATTGAACACGACCAACGAGACGGGTCACGTCATGATTCTCATTCCCTCTCCCTGCTGCATCCCATCGAGCTAGTGAACCGAAGCGAGGCCGCTTCCCCTCATTCTCAAATTTTCCAGGAGGGCAATGACATCAAAGCCCTCGCTTGATCGCGCAGTTCTTGTCCAAAAGTAAGGCCATCCGTTTGAGATATCGATGCATGTGCGGTTTTAGAGTTGATGCTTCTGCGGCCTAATTTTGCGAAATCCAAATTTCGATTCATTATCCCTTTAAAAGACATGCAAAGGAAAGAAAAAACTTTTTTTGTCAAACAGCCTAGATGGAAAACGATTGTCATAAGACAAATTTACAATGCAAAAATAATTTTTTAGCTATATTTACTGCGCGAAACGAATTCGTAGTTGGCGACCGCGGCAGCAGCCGCTGATCACATGGCAGACCTGCGCACGCAGGTAATATTTAGGGCGACCATATTCCTCAAGGTAGAAAACGGGATATCCCAGCGGGAAAAGGGGGGGGGGGGGGGGGGGGGGGGGGTTGTTTAAAGGGCAACTCCGCTTCATTTTTGATATTTAGAAAACTATGTAGCCCTCTTCAGTATCATAGGAAGACCCCGTGTCAAATATTACGATCTAATTCCGTTTATATATTTAATAAACTGGCCAGCAAACCTTCAAGCGAGCCAAGTCGCCGAAATCTGCCAACTCTAGCGTGCGGCGCGAGGCGCAATCAGCAGCGCAGTCCACGGAGATGGAGCGGCCAACGTTGAGCCACTACGTCAGAGGCATGCATACGTCATTCTCACGTTTTGTTTGTTTTTACTTCTCAGAGCGAAATTGAACGATGACGTCATGAGTTTCTCCTCCCTGTGTTGGCTGACCGGGCATTCATGTGATCACCGTAACACGGATGCGCCTGGGATGCGCTGCCCTGCGCGCTTATCGGTCTGTTTCTCCGCTCATTTTCTCCTATTTCGTCTTCTCCCCTTCCCCCTCGCCCCCGGGCCATTACCGTCCACGCCATGCGGTACGACCTGCCCGCGTCCAATAAAAAAAAAAAAAAAAAAAAGACCTCGCTCGGTTTTTTGCTTCCTCCCGAACGTCACAAGACCACGTGGTTCGACGTGACGTGCCATGACTCTGACGACCCGAGACCAATGTTGCCTGACGCAACCGAAGTTTCGGTTTCGGTACCTGCTGATGTTTAAATTAAGATTACACAAATAATCCACATTTCGCGAATCTGAAGAGGTACAGTTGTTTAGTAGTGCTTTGTGAATGTGAATCACATGGAAGCCTAAATTTTTCGGAATTGAGCGGAGTTGCCCTTTAAAGATTGATATTGAGAGAAAAAATTAATGGAATAACTGCTCTCATTTCACAACGTTACCATATTGCACTAAGCCCTAGGGTCTAGGGAAAAGTCACTGCTTCGCGTCCTTCGTTGGTGTGGGCGTATTCTGCCGACGACTGAAGTTTCTTAAGCAGGACTTTATCCTGCAAGGCTCGGTTGTAAAAGTCTGCACACTTGTATAAATAAAAAAATAATGCCCCGAAAACGGGACATGATTCTTTATTGGGACAAAAAGACGGGGCGGCAGAAACGGACCTCAAAAACTGGACTGCCCCGGCCGAAACGGGACGTCTGGTCACTCTGTAATATTACAATTACTAATGCGAAAGCATTGACTATCCCATGGAGCGGAGCCGGCGGCGTCTGTAACTGCGAAAGAAATGCCCATTCTCCCATTGGCTGAGCGAAACGGCTCCTAGATAGCCATTGGCGGCCACTTCACGAGAGCGCGCGCTGGGCCGTCGCTCTCGTGTGGGGCGTTGCCGGAAGGCTTCACAAAAACGCTCCCTCCCCCCCCCCCCCCCCCCCCCCCCCCCCCGGCAGGCGGGGGGGGGGGGGGGATTTTGCCGCTT